GCCTAGCATATATCAGCATTGGTCAAGCGGACCTAAGTGTTAGGCTATATGGTTTTAAAATTATTACTAAAAGATCTGCGTGTAGTTCCATAATCAGTGTACTTATAAGTTTGCATCCGCGCTAGGATACTTGTATGTCATAAAGTGTAACAATTTGCAATGATTAGGTAATCTCGAAATTTAATCTTAGTTTATTGTAACAAAGATTCTGTACGGTCACAGGTTCAATTCTAGTTGAATACAATTTTTTTTCTCTTTTTAATATTTTAAAATTTAAGCAAATCTTAAAATTAAAATTTATTAGATATTAACTTACGTATAAAAAAAACGTTCTCCGTTTATTAACTATTTTTATCTTTTCTTCAAAGAGGCTGTCATAACTTCTTTACAGCAAAATAGCTGTGCAGTCAAATAACTGCAACATTTTTAAAGCTTAAAAATGTTGTCCCATTTTTGCTGGTACAACGTTGTCAAAACGTTATAATAACGTTGTGGCAGTAACTGTGCTGGACAAAAATGCTGCGATTTGAGCTGTAACAACGTTATCGCAGCCGTTTTAAAACTTTAAGTGCTACTTGGGTTATTAGAATTTGTTTATTAGGCTTCAGAAAAGTATTTATTATAATTTTATATTATTTGTATACAGTTATATATTAATAAATAGATAGAATATTCGATAGGAGAGAAAAAAATTCTTACTTGAATATTTAAAGATAAATAAAGTTTTTGGAATGAGATAGAATGAGATGAATCTTTCACCATTTGATAGAGCAAAGCATATACTTTTTTAATATATCTGAATAGTATCCATCTTCGTCCCTTTTTCATTAAAAAATGCATATCAAAGTTCTTTCGACTTGATCAAACGTCCTTCATCAGTGAGCCATTCTCTCACAAGAAGACTTACGGAAGAGTCGCTCACTGATTTTAATGAAACTTTGCATACTTGTAGAACATCGAAAAATAATCGACATATCTTTTTTCTGCAATGGTGCGGATTTAAGGGTAGAAAGCACCCTTTGAACGTTAAAGATAGTCTCCGAGCATAGATAGAAAACAATCCTATAATTTAGAAGAAAAAATATTTTCAGGGGGTTTTTGATGCAACTGACTCCAATCCTGACGCCAAAATTATAAAATTCAAAATGACGGATCCAATATGACGACTAAAATTACAAAAATTCTCCTGGTTCGAAATACGCCTGCAGTTAGCCTATAAAAATTATAGTTTTCAGAGTTTATCACGAGGACGGTTGCAGAGCGATTTTAATCCAGGACGTGTTAATCCTTGCACGTAAGTTAGCTCGTAAGTTAGCGCGATGTAACATGACTTTCATGACACACACGTATAGTCCAGAAGGTGGACTAACGTGCATCGTGGCGCAATACGGTAGCCGCAGTACACGCCATCACGCCTCTTTGTCTCGATTTCTTGCAACGGCTAGTACGCGACTATAATCATGGCTTCTTATATCGCCCGCGGGGCACGTTTCATTCTCCCTGTCATGTCCGTACTTACAGCTCCGCAATTAATTATTCGTCCGAGCTTCGTCCCGAAACTTAGAAGCGCGTTCGCGTCGCTTATTAAACGCGCATCCAGCGAGGCTGATGGCTCGCGTTTACGCTGCGGATAAAGGATTACGAGTTTGAGCTTGTTTGTTTGCCTGCGCGTAAACCGTAAGAGTGCCGGCGTTGGATCCTGGATTGCGAGACAAAAATTAAAGAACTCCGCAATTAAGAGAGAAAATATCGCCGCGCCGCGCGCACCTTATCTCGCGAAAGTCTACCTCCGTAGTTTGTAACTGCGAAAACGTGACTCGCGGTCATACTTTCGCACGCTTCTTACGTGCATCTTGCGTACGCATCTTACGTAGAGAAAGGCAGTTATAACGTCGTGGTTTCAAGAAAGTCCCGCTATTAAAAAGAGACGACTGTTCGATGATAAATTTTACAATCGATATCCATATATGACCTATAAAGTATAAATCCCGCGAAGTAATTCGCAACAATTTCGCTAAAAATGCTACGAATGCAGAAATTGATTAAATATATAGATAATTATGCAAGCAAAGGAATTAATTATTATTTTAGCTGTCATGTCACCAGCGATCGGCTAGGTAATAATGCCGAGTCTCATTTTATATTTATCACTTATTTACATTCAAGAACTATAACTGCGTTTAACAAATTAAACATATAGCTGATAGAAGACCAATGATTCGAACTAACGAATGTGTGCATCGCGAATTGCATTTATTAAGCCTCACATCTTTAGTGACTCAAACTTAAATTAATTATTGTAATAATCAGCAAGAATCAGACGTGACGATTAACATGTTAATCGTCACGTTAATGTTAATTAGAACGAAATGAAACGATGGATAAAATGTTCAATAGCTCGCACTCTGCCAGTTTTCGACACTTTCGTATTTTATCAAATATTAAGACGTCTGAAGATTTAAAAAATAGATATTAAATAATAATTAATAAATAATTGATAAATCCTCATATACTTCAATAATCGATAAAATTCGCTCAATAATGCCGGAAATCAGCAAATTGTTCATTGGATATTTTATACTACGTAAGTCTTACAGGTATTCAATCAAAGATCAATTTTTCATACCAATGAAAACTATACAAAGTAATGGTTGCAAATAATTCTTTTTGTGACAAGATAATAATAATATCCACGAAGTATCGCATGCGTACGCGCGTGCATATTGATAAATTTTTTTAATTTTAATATAGACGATGCACACATAAATAACCACATCTCATAAATAACCTCATCATCGAGCTGACTCTGTATTCTGCTAATATTAGATTACTTTATATTAATCCTATCCTACATATCCAAACTGTGAAAATCAATCTAATATTCTGCAAGTAATATTGTAGAAAAAATATTAATTGGTTAATCAATTAATATTTGAAAAAATGTTTAAAAAGATATTAAATATTTTTATTCATGTGTTGCGAGTGAACACGATCGGCAAAAATTCGGAGTTGAAATTCGAAGCTGTCAAATTCGCTTCACAAATTCGCGTCGATAAACGCGAGATTATCGATTCAATCGGATTCTCTTTAAAGCCGCCATATTTTAGATTTTCAGCGCGGTTTACTAAGAACACCTTAAATATATATCTTATTTAATTTTTACGTAAATTATTAAGTAAATAATTTTTCTGAGGATCACATTCGAGATTTTAAGATCACTGATTTGATTCCCATTCGCAAAGATGATCAGTTTCAATTCGTAACTCACCTTCTTGTAACGGATCCTGCAATCACCCCTTTTCTTCGCCGTGAAGTGTCGTTTATTGTCCGTAGCGCGAGTTCCCACATACTCCAGTTCGTCATCTGCGACAAAAGGAAAATCATATTTTCCAACAGCATTGAAAAATTATCGACGAAAATCCGAAACAAATTAAGTAAATTGAACCAAAACTTTGACATCACGACACAAATTTCCATTCATTCTTTTTTACTCTTTTCTCCGCTGTTTTCTTTTTTTTTTTTTTTATGAATGTCGGCTGTTCATAGTGGCATTAATTATATGCTGCCTAACTCCTGATTGAAACTTGGCATGAAAGTACTGGAGAAACTGACCGAAGCGCGTAATTCAGTAGTACAACGATATGATTGAGTGGACTTACCGTAGTCCTTCGTGGCGTTGCCTACAAATTGAATAGGCTGGAGCGAAATGTAGATCTCGTCTATTTTTAAGGCGAGTAACGCAGACTCGCGAGCGAAACAGGGTCGATTATCGCGAGGTTGGCGGGCATGCGAAGTAACCATTCGAGCCCTTCTATCGGCATTGGGATCTTCGTCCCGATCACGGGACGATAACTTCTAAATTAAGCAGCCGTGCCGCGCCGCACCATCACCACGACTCACGAAACTCCGTCCTTCCGTCGCGGCCGCCACAATGTTATTAAGTGTGTGTGAATTAATTCGGTCCGTTCTTTTCTTCCAAAAAAGACTTTAGTATGAAAAAACATGAAAAAGTACACCAATCAAAGTATTTGCCAAAGTATCGCTTGCTATTATTTTTTCCCATCTGTCTGGCAGTTGTTGCATTCCGTGACGGAAAAACGACTCGTCCTTCGAAGCGATCCATTCGTTGAGCCATTTTTCATCTTGCATGAAAAATTACTTTGTCAAACAATCCATAAAATGTATCACCATTCAATGTGCTTTCTTATGAATTTACGTTTAATAATATTGCAACATTTATTACGACTAATACAGTATTAAACGTTATTAAAGTTTTAATACAATGATAGAATAATTTGATATAATATCATATCTAACAATGTTACTAACTAATGGTAGGAACTAATATTTTCATCCAGAATAAGAAACAAAACAGAATAAGTTCTACGAATATACTTCCTCCGACTTATTTATCACGTGTTTCATATAATATTTTTATTCAGTAATCGTTTCGATGCAGACGAATCAGTAACTTTCATTTGAAATGCTTTTTTTATTTTGTGTTATTGAAGAATTATGGGAAAGAACTGAAGAATTGATTAACTTATATTTAAACACGTATTCTAAGTTATTTCAACCTTGCTTTTACAAACATGTTTTTACAAATATGTCTGATATGGAGAAGGTACGAATAATTGGAGAAAGTACGTAATCCTTTCTTACAACAATGCTCGGAATTACTTTCACTTTTCTCCTCTCTCTCTCTCTCTCTCTCTCTCTCTCTCTCTCTCTCTCTCTCTCTCTCTCTCTCTCCCCCTCCCTCCCTCCCTCCCTCCCTCCTTCCCTCCCTCCCTCTCTCTCTCTCTCTCTCTCCCTCTCTCTCCCTCTCTCCCTCTCTCTCGTAAAATGCGTAAAAATAGATTTTTGGACAAATTTATTATCGGTAAGGTAGAATTCTGGTAGGCTTCTGTTTAATCAATTATTGATAAGCACAATGTATAAATTTAAAGCCACTACACCGCGTTAGATGGCAATGAGTCGTGGGACCGTTACGTAAACATATTGTTATCAGTGCACGACATGTGAGTGTGGGAGATGTGCATTTGTTACACATGTACAATGTGTTTTTGATCTGTGTGCGATTATCTTCCGAAGTAAAAAACAATATAGAAGTTATTTAGGAGTCAGAGATCTGACCATCTAGTGGTGAACTCAGTCGGATTTTGTTCGAGAGAAGTGATCGTCGCAACGTTTTCGTCTTTCGTTTTTATCAACGCGACAATACAAGCATCAGCAATGTACGTAACCACATACAGAATATGTATATAAGTATACCGCGCTACACACTTGAGCACACTTCGAATAACCTCTAAATTATACAGAGTGGGTTAAAAGTCTGGAAACGGCTAATTATCTCTAAAGTAGCCTGTAGTCCTGTAGTCCTGTAGGAAAACTTAATTGGTATTTCAGACAAAAGTTGTATGGTTTCAAGAGAGACATAAAACAAAACTATGTCATTTTGTTTGCAAATGACGCCACTTTTGAGATATCCATTGATCATTACTTTTTTTAAACGGAAACTCTAATTTTTTATTACATCATCTTTTTCTACCGATTAATTGACCAATGAAAAACTTTTGTCTGAAACATTTTTTTATTTGCCTAATATTTTTTGAGATATGTAAGATAACTTGGTAACTTTTTCAATATTTAACTTACGATATCTCGCTAACTGTTTGTCAGAAGAAAAAATGATACAAGACTTTTTTTGGTCTTTATTTGGTCTCAAGAATATATTGTTACAATAGTGCCCTAACTTTTATAACGGCAACGAACGTATATATAATATAACAACGAACTGTATATTTTTCACGGTTTAGTATAACAGCGGTTACGAATATTTCTTATCAATAAATAATACGAAATATCAACTGACCTCCGCATTATTATACAATTTGCACAATTACGTAACTATTAAACGACGTAACTATTAAACAATTGCGCAATAATAAATGTGAGCATATTTAATTGTAAAAATATAAAAACAAATTATCAAGGCTTTATATATTTATAATCAGTAATATGACAAAGGAGCTAATCAGAGCATATGCCAGATATTAACAATGAAAATCTTCCGACTACAAAAGGAGATTATTCAAACGTTCACTGCAAATCCGGATGTGTTATTTTAACAGGCATAAGCATATAATTGGCCGAATCTCTCTTTATATATTTCTTATCATCTTGAATCACGTCACTTAAATGTTTAAACCTGTTGTATGATGTCCAGGCAAATTAAATGACCCAAGGCGATTCAAGACAATTGGAAATATGTAGAAAAATGATTCAGCTAATTACACACTCATACGTGTAAAAATAACATACTCGGATTTGCGGTGTTTCGATTTGCGATTATCCTTTTCTCGGTAGAAAAGAAAAAAATTCTCAGGATCCCTTTTGTTTTAATATCAGGACAAAACTGATCTAGGGCGACATCCAGATTTTGAAACAAAAAGAGGTCCTGTGAATTTTTTTCCTTTCCCACTGAGAAAAGTCGGAATAACGACAGAAATATTTGGATAATATTATTTCTGAATAATTTTGCTTTATAGTTGAAAGATTTTTACTCTCGACATTTAGCAGGTGCTTCGGTACATATATTTCTTCGATGACGTATAATAAAATGCAGAATTTGGGATATTCCGAAAATCGTATGATACTTCAATAGTATATTCTGGAGCTCAAATGTTAACAAGAAAAATTCTAATACCAAAATATCGTTGAAGATTATTATTTATCACAATATCTCAATGTTTAATACTGCATATTTTTATAATTAAGTTTTCGGTTAAAATTCTGCCCAAATATAGCCCACAAGTAAAATTTACCAAAAAATATAATTTTATTCTTCATAAGCTTTCTCAAGGTCTGTTTCACATAAATATTTTGTGATAGATATTTAGTGATATATCTTTCACTGGTTTATAATTCGAAAAATATCGATGTACCATCTTTATATTACATTATCTTTATATTACATCTTTATATTACAATTATCGAGTCCAATTAAGTCCCAAAAAGCTACAGTAATAAATGATAGTTTTGAAACATTATATTCAGAGTTTATGAAAAGTCTGGAAACCTCTAAAAATTTTGAAAACTTGGTAACTTTTTCAATATTTAACTTATCTCGCGATAACGATATCTCGCTAACCATTTGTCAGAAGAAAAAGTGATTTTTTAGTCTACTTGGTCTCAAGAATATATTGTTACAATAGCGCCCTAATTTTTTAATTTGATGTTAATTTGATGATCTTGAAATTTTCAAAAATCGATAAATTAGAGCGCTATTGTAACAATATATTCTTGAGACCAAATAGAATAAAAATGTTTAATATTATTTATTCTCCCGACAAATAATTAGCGAGATATCGTAAATTAAATATTGAAAAAGTTACCAAGTTTTCTTTAAATATCTAAAAAAATATATGGCAAATAAAAATATGTTTCAGACAAAAATTGTTCAAATTAATTGATAAATAAAGGTGATATAATAAAAAATTGAGGTTTCCATTTAAGAAAAGTAATAATCAATGAATATCTCGAAAGTGGCGCTATTTGTAAACAAACTGATATAGCTATTTTATGTCTTCCTTGAAACCATACAACTTTTGTCTGAAATATTTTTTCTAAAAATACATATTCGAAATTTCTAGGGGTTTCCAGACTTTTTGTAACCCCTATATATTACTATTTATTAGTCATATAATTTTCGGATAACACAATAAGTTTCTGCCTCGGGTACTCGCAGAAATTAAAATAATATCTTTATTAAAAATCTAACTCAGTCTAATCTGTGCCGAGTTTAAGTTCTTTTTTTATCGTTCTTTATTCTTTATCGTGATATTTCTATTTCTATCTTTTCTTATCGTTCTTTATTCTTTATCATGATATTTTCAGGAATTCCTTACCACCTACCTACGTCGAAGGCTTTCATGACCTTAAAGCAGTGAAAGCTATGAAATATAAGAAGCTCGGAAAAACCGACTTGATGGTCAGCAAACTTGCTTTTGGCGGTGGTCCACTCGGTTTTCATTATAGGTAAACTATTTATCGTATAAACGTATATTACAATTAGCGTTGCGAATTTGCTTATACAATTAAATTATTATTAGCACGTACGATGAGACAAATGCTATAGAGGCAGTGCGACAAGCGATTAAACAGGGTGTCAATTATATTGATACAGCACCGTTTTACGGCCAAGGTCGATCCGAGGAAACGCTTGGCAAGGTACGAAAAAATTATTATTATTAATAGAATAATAGAATTATTAATAGAATATATTATATAACATATACACATTTCAAACATTTTTTTTTTTTAAAACAACACATCACTCATACATATCATCACAGATGCTATAGACAACCTACATTTCCAAAATATATTTTAAAGACGTATTTAAAAAGTTTGTATTTTCTAAGACATTTCGTATTTTATTCAACATGTTTATAAGAAACTCAAAATTAAAATAAAATGAGTAAAAACATATTTAAATAAAAATTTATCTTACAGGCGTTAAAAGGAATTCCGCGACAAGCTTACTATATCGCGACAAAAGTCGGCAGGTATGAAATGGATTATGAGAACATGTTCGATTTTACGGTCGAGAAAACTAGAAAGAGTATCGAGAAGAGTTTGAAATTATTGGGCGTGGATTACATCGATGTTATCCAGGTAATATGAGAGATAATATGAGATAATGCACGTCACAATATAAAATAGATAAATAATCCCCAGATATCTTTCAATTGTAACTTTGCAGGTCCACGATATCGAGTTCGGGCCATCGTTAGACATAATCCTCACGCAAACTTTGCCGGAATTATCGAAACAGGTAGCCAATGGTAAAGCTAAATATATTGGCGTAACCGGATATCCGGTGACTGTATTGAAAGAATGCGTCGAGAGGAGCAACATCAATATATCTTGCATATTAAGCTACACAAGGCTCACCTTGATCGACGATACTTTGTTGGAGTACGTCCCGTTTTTCAAGGTTTGCGCAATTTCAATCGCATCACGTATCACATCTTTAACCTCTATTTTATCAACCTTAAAATTCATTGACTGCAAAATATAATTGTGCTTTTCGTACATATTTTAGGAACACGATATTGGTTTGATTAACGCCGCATTGCTATGTATGGCTATTTTAACGAATTACAATCCGCCAAGTTGGCATCCTGCCTCTGAAGAGACGAAGCGGCAATGTGCAAATGCTGCGCAATATTGCAAGGCATGTTACATTTAATATAAAATATATCTATTGAATATAATGAAATAGATTAAAATGCTCGTTCTATTTTCTATATATTACTGATTGTAAAAGAAATATAAAATGGCACAAAAGTTAGTTACTGATTTGAAAAATTCATAATTTTTTGTTGATAATACATGTATAATATTTTTTGCAGAATGTACAGATAGAAAATTAGAAAATTTCCAATTGTAATCGATTTTTAGGTCATTCTGTATACAATTTCAAGAAATTAGTTGAAAAGGTTAACGTTATATTATGAGATAACGAATAATTATATTATTAAAATGATATTATAATAGTGATATTATTATAACGATTGAATAATGATATTATTAAATAACGATCTAGGATCGAAATGTAGACTTGTCTCGACTAGCGATATGGTATTCGCTACAATACGCAGATGCGGATACCAATTTGGTCGGAATACAAAGCACGAAACAGTTAGAAATGAACTTGGATGTGCTACTGAATGGTATCACGGAGAAGGAAAAAATAGTGTTGCAAGAGATTCGAGAGAAGTAAGTCTCATAAATCGGTCACTAATTATGAATTAAAATTAAAAACGAATTTTCCTAACAAAATTCAAGATAGACAATTTCTGTGGTCACAAACATATACAGATAAAAGTATAAAATATTATTACTTATTTTAGATTTTTGTCGAAAATAAAAAATCAACACTGGGAAGGTAAAGAGGTCGCAATGTATCGAGAACACATGAAAAATAAACTGTGAGAGGAGCGTTTTCGATTTTGACATTTCCATTTCTTTTTCTTATTCTTTTCACTTATTGAATATGACCGGTGTGAACTTGGCGCTCAATTTTTAAATAATTCGATCATAATATATGTAATAATATAATATATATTGCTATATACATACATAATATACAGTCATGGACAAAATTAAGTGGACAGTTATCATAAATAATAAAAGGTTAATTTAATTTAACTAATAATGTCAACAAATCAAATCTTTATTGCTTATTTAACAAAGTATAATTTGACAAAATATAAAGAAAAACCAATTGTAACAAATAATATATTAGAATTTTTATTGATTAATGACAATAATATAAAACTGCACATGGTCAAAATTAAGTGGACACTTTATACAAAGTAAGTATTAATACTTTGTATTGTAGCCTTTTACTTTTATTACTGCTTGTATACGTCGTGGCATACTTTCAACAAGTTTTTCCAGATAATATTTATCAATTCTTTGAAATTTTAGTTGCAATTCATTTAAAAATTCTTCTTTATTATTGCGTTTTTCTAATGGAATCTCTGCATCCAGTAAACTCCATAAATTTTCGATTGAGTTAAGGTCCGGACTTTGTGGTGACCGTTCAAGAACTTCTATTTTACAATTCTGGAAAAATTGTTTCGTTTTCTTTGCTATGTGCTTCGGATCATTGTCTCACTGAAACATCCATTCCCTATCGAGATCCATTTTTAGAATTGGTTTTTCTATGTTTCCATTTAAAATATACACTGCTCAAAAGAATTATGGCATAGATAATTTATTGCCGAAAATTGGCCAATTTTGACTGGCGATTACTTCGCGAAAAATTATCGTAGACTAATGATTTTCTTTTCAAAATGAAGCTTGAAGTCTCTACTTTAAGAATGTATATCCATTTTTTGCATGCGATACACCCCTACCCCTGTACCCCTGTATTATCGTATGCACTTGTGTTACGTCTCCGTTCCCGACCATGTACATTTCCCAGATAGCACAATGAATTCTCAACGTATTCAAAGTGTTCTTCCTTTCTGAACTATAGTTCCTCAGGAATTCATAAAAAAATACTACAAGAATGACCAGGGAAGTTACATGCACCATGATTGAAATTTCTCGGAAGTTCGTGATGTATTCATATACAGATATTTTTCTTATCAATAAATGTATGATTAACGAATTTAAAAGGAATAGAGTTTGAGAACAGAAAGAGGCTTACAAAATAGTTGTAGGAGTAAAAAACACAAAATATTGGGTGTACAAGTATGATTTTACGAACTTTTTGATAAAATAACACATTGGTTTAAAACATAATAAATCATTCTTACTTTATTCAAAATATGCTCCATCGGAAGCTACAACCTTTGCCCATCTTTCAGACAATAAACGGATTCCACGTTGGTAGAAGTCTGGTAGTTTTGAAGCGATCCTGTTATGAAACCAATTTTTAATTTCTTCATAAGAACTGAACCGCTCTCCAGAACGGGCCGTCGTCATAGATCGGAACAAATAGTAATCTGAGGGAGCAATGTCTGGTGAATATAGCGGGTGAGGTAGAATCTCCTAGTTCACTCCTTCTAGATAATTCTTGACGGATCTATAAACATGTGATCTGGCATTGTCATGCTGTAAAATTATCTTGTCATGTCTATTCTCTCATTCCGGTCGTTTTTCCTTCACAGCCCAAACGGCTCAAACGTATTAATTGTAGTCGATAGCGTTCACCAGTGATAGTTTCAGACGGTTGCAGTAGCTCATAATACACCACCTTCATATCCCACCAGATACACAGTATAACCTTGTTGCCGTGGATGCTTCACTTTGGCGTTGATGGACCAGGTTCGCCGAGCTTAACCCATGCTGGTTTGCGTTTAGGATTATCATAGTAAATCCACTTTTCATCGCTAGTAATAATTCGATGTAAAAGAACCCTTTCTTTTTGATGTTGTAGCAACAATTCGCACACGGTTTTTCTTCTTTCGATGTCTCTCTTCCTTTCAATTCGTGTGACACCCAATTTCCCCGTGTAAACATTTCTTCTTTTCCTTTCCCACGAGGAGCGTCAAAATAACGACCGAAACGTTTGGATAATCTTGTTTTATAGTTGAAAGATTTTTGTCATCAACATCTGGCATATGCTCTGTTTAACTTTTTTGTAATATTATTAATTGTGAATCTGTGTAGTCTTAATAATTAATCCCATCTTGACAAAATCCATCTTGATAAAATGAAATTTTTTTTTACCTGGAAACTGCAGGATGACAGCAAATCCCATTTGCACGAACGATGATCTGAAGTAAAAATCCGTCAGCAATCGTTCGTCATATCTTGACACATTCTACCTTCGCTACGTTCATCAGCTAACGCCTCAATAATATCTAATAAGAGCTCACGGCTTAATTGTTTCAGTCTAGGGACTCTCGCAACCTGAATAAAAACGATATTTTGTTAAAGAATATATTTATATTTATATAAATACGAATGACATATTAATGTCTAATATACAAAGTTTAAGAGATTCCATACCTTGCTGAAATGATGGACTATTAAGTTTAGTGCATACTTTTTCATATCACCAGCTTGCATTCTATCCGCCGCCTCCAAGATCTGTATAACATTTTCAAAAGTAATATTGGTCTCAAGATTTTGCTTACAAAATGTCTGCAGTCGATTGTTCGTGAAACCGTAAAATACTGGTGCAGTGAATAGATATAAGGAATCCTCAGGCGGCATCGAAACGTCGGCGTAATAAATGTACCTCAGTAACGAATGGAATGATTCTGACGACGGTATCATCTCGCCAATTTGTATCTGCGTAAAAGTTCCATTTATTATTTATGTTATTTCTATATATTTATTATTTATATTTATTATTTATATTATTTCTATATATGCGAATACCTTGTATATCGACAAATCTAACGCGTTAATTGAAGTGACATTAAGAAATGTTGTTACCAATGTCATTTCAAAAAATGTCTCAATTATGCTAATTAAATATATTTACTATTCAACAAAACTCACTTCCCTTTAAGTAAAAAATCCTTTAAAATGATAATGAATACCTACATAATAGTTTTCGTAGTCTGTGCTGTTTACCTATATAGTTACATACAACTACAAATGCTTTCACATAGTGAGAGTACAAATGTCAATAAATCAAGGTATATCTTACCAAAGTAAAATAATAAGATAGTAAAATATTTAAAAAATAATCATTGGAAATCATTTTTTCTTCCGGCGAATAGTCAAGATATCGTAAGTTAAATATTAAAAAAGTTACCAAGCTTTCCTTAAATATCTCCAAAAATATTACGTAAATAAAGAAATTTCTAACAAAAGAAGTTTCTAACAAAAGTTGCTCAAATTAATTAGTGGAAAAAGATCAAATAATAAAAATTGGGGTTTCCATTTAAGAAAAATGATCAATGAATATCTCGAAAATGGCACCATTTATAAACAAAATGATATCGCTGTCTTGTATCTCTTTTCAAACCAAACAACTTTGGTCTAAAATGTTTTCCCATATCTTTTATATTTTTTCGAGATATCTGACAAGAAAACCGTCGGAACTGTCCCTCACCGATTTTGATGGGCTTTAGATATGTTGTAGAGCAATAAAAACTATTAGATACATATTTTTTCTATCGCCGTATCTCAAGGTTTAGGGGGTGAAATAACCCCTTGAAAAAAACTAACATTTTCATTTTATGCGAATATCTTCTAAAGTACGAAGTATATGAAAAAATGTTTCCTACAAAAGTTTTACAGTACTTTATACTGTTTGCAACGGTATATTTAGATTTTTCAAAAGTGTCAAAATTTTCAATCTTTCCCCGCCCACTAACCCTTCAATTTTGTGAAATTTAAAAATTTCATGAAGACAAAAATTAAAGAGCATTTGATGCCGAATCCATTCATATATAACAATACAACATGGTCATGATTAATTTTTAGAAAAATGAAATGATAACATCGTGTTATAGGCGCCGCGCTGTAGACAGATGTGCTATTTCTTTTCAGTTGCGCGTACTCAAGAATTGTCTTTTATGCATATTTCCTCATATTACAATATGCAAGAAAATTAATCTTAATGACACAATATACAACTTATTACACGAAATAAAGATGAGAGATAGATGAACGTGCATATACAGGGTGGAACAAAGCATTTAAGGGTTGACAATGCGAAATATCTCAAAAACGAAATATTGGAGAAAGAAATGTTTTAAATAAAAGTTGTATGGTTTATAGGAGGACGCGTAATAGTGCCCTTTGTTTGGCCTTGAAATATGTATTTAACATCAGATGAAGGTCAACTTAATTTTTTTAAATAGAAGGTATATAGAAGATACTCCCTTTGTGGGAGGGGGCGCGGTAGTCGGGCGTGGGACTCTTCTTATGAGCCCTGGGCCCGGGGTGTTGGGGAGGGAATGCAGGAGTAGTTGCCCTGACTCCCCTCATCACGGCCCGATCGATAGATACCCCGGTGGGGTTTTAACCGGTAAGAGTCCGGCATAACCCTCGACTCCCCGGCCAAGGGCCGAGGGTATCCATGAGAATTTCCCCACCGTTACCGAAAAAAAAATTAAAATGTACCACTCTATACACATACACGCGCGCGTGCGCACATACACAGCCGCCATTTTATATTTATATTTGTATGTATATATTGCGACTATGCAAGTTAGTCTGAATAGCTCTTTACATAACTTGTTAAGTTGTTTGTACTTACATTCACCATGTTATTACGAGGCATAAAAGATCGAAACATAGCCTCAAAGTAACTGCATCGCGCCGCAAGAACTGCTTTATGTGCCGGTATCGGAAGGCCATCCAGGATCAGCCTAATATCGCAAAATTCTAGACCAACGCTATTCAAAAACGCCTTCATATCTTGTTCCAGGCTGGTTCCTGGCAAACGAGCTTCGTAATGCGTTATGAAGTTCCTCTTACGATAAAAGAACTTTACAAAAGAACATATGAAAATATAAGATACATACCGACGCCAGATTCGTACTCGTACTTAGCAAAAGTTCTCGCTTGCGGCACCTGTCGCCGTCTGATAATCTCCACCATTAGCGGCTGATCCAAAGTCTCGAACTCCTGACTCATCACGATCTGATTATAATTGCTCTCTTTTACGACGAAACTTAGACAAAACTCTTTTATGAAGTATAGTTTCAAGTGCACAGCGTTATGCAACGCCACCAAGACGTTCGCGTGGCTTATTGTTGCTTCGAGATAATTTACACATAACTGTTCTAAACGTTCCATATTAAACTGTACGGCAAGACGGTATACGTCCATCATGAGAAGCACGATGCGATTGCTTTGCGGATCCTCAATTTTACCGTTGAACGCATCATCTGTTCTTTTAGTAGGATCAATGCGATCGGTGTAGATATAGTTTAACACCATCTCAAAAGCTTCCGGTACAGCATCTTTTAGTTTTACCTGCAACAGAAAATTAAAAATTAGAATTAGGAAATATATATCATTTTTCACTTGCTGATTGTTTTTAAACAAACATTAGAAATTATATAGAATATTCAGCGTAACATTAATCCGTATACTTTTTTAGACACTTCCGACGATTTAAAAAAAAAAGTTGTAAAGTAAAACGTCCATCTACTTTATATAGACTACAAATTACGATACAAAGATTTGAAATAATTTTTGTGATATTTTACCGTCCCGATACTTTTTATATACCCTGTATATATGATCGTATATATCTGAAATATATTCTTAATGTATAACTCTTAAAAGATCTTAACTTTGCCTGAAAGTGTTTTTTTTTAATCAGTAATATTTTTGGAGATATTCATGTTGCACACGCCTCACTATAATCAAATAAATTTGTTACATGTATTCAGCTACATTTTTTTATAAAGCTAAAGTTAATAAACGCAATTCCAACTTGCAATAGAACTTTACCTCTACTAACGGCAAATCTTTAATGGGTACATCAGCAGTACCAAACACCTCTTCCAAATGCATTGCCCGTTTCTCACGCGCCTCTCGAATTCGAGCCCGAAGAAATTGTGAACGCGCAGCCACCATAGCAATGTGTGCCGGTATCTTAGTCTCTAATTCACCTACAATAAACTCTACGTCGCAGGATAGACGACTGTTCAAAAGTCGACCGAAATCGTCATGTAGAGTGCATTTGGGGTACGACGAGAACTGAAAACGATATGTCTCGGCGGATCGTACGTTATTATCCACAGTTCCACCGAAGATAAACATCGCTTCTCCAATTACAGCTGCAGCGTGGAAAAGTCGGCCAGACGGTACCTGCGTAAGCATTTATATATCATAACCAAGATATCATTTAATTTAAAAATATAATATAAAAATATATTATAAATAAGAGATACGAAACTGTTTTACAATCTCTAATTTTCAGTTTCTATTTATAATAAAAATTTATTTCACAAAACGAAATTAAATGATTCGCCCTCATGTATATCATTAATATATACAGGGTGTTTCATTTTAAGTGATATGGTCGATTATCTCGCGAATCTATGATTTTATTGAAAAATTTTTCGAACGGAAGTTGCATGGCTTGAAGGGGGATACATGATGGAAATGTGGACTGGACCTTGAGTGACCTTGTAGAAATCAGGTCAAGATCAGTAATGTTTTTTAAATGGAAACCCCTATTTTTTATTACATATTCTTGTGCTTATCTCGAGAGCTTTCCAAAACACTATAATAAAGTTACGTTTCATTGAGTACTTTCCGAGTTATGAGGCTTGAAAGTTAAGGCAAGACCAATCATTGATCTGGCTAACTAAACAAAATAATATAGTTGTTTTGTCCCCCATAAAATCATACAACTCTTGTCCAAAACATTTTTGCTGAAAATGCTTCGTTGAAGAATTATCGAGGTACGTTTTTCAAAATGGGACACCCTGTATATATATATATATATACATATAATTAGTGTGCTATAGCAGTGAAATATTAATTTAAATTTTGCAGTTATGTATAGGCCTTCTACCTGACTGTCAGAGGATGGTAATACAACGTTCCATGTTTGCGTGTCTAGATCATAGCAGTGAAGATCATTAGACAAAGACGTTTCGGCCGCGCCGCCGAAGACATAGAGATGTCTGTCGAAGCTGACCATTGTGTGACCGTATCGCCGTGCCGGTGGAGGCGGCGCGCCACGTAATATATGTTCCGTCGATATACGTGTCCATCTAATAAATAAAAACAGGAAGGAAAGAAATATAATTACAATTTATGAGGCGCGAATACAAAATTGTAAATTACTACACGGAATTTATCGTCACACAAATGTAACATTTACCGCCTCTTCTTAAAGTGAAATTGAAAGAGACTATTAGTTATTTTTGCTCCGCTCTGACCGCTAAAAACAAACATAGATTCTCGGGCTACCGCGACAGGGAAATTACAGCATGTCGGTGGACATTCGCCATATTGAATAACTGCTTCCCACACCCTAGGCTCACCAGGCTGCGTAAATGACATGCGTAAAATTAAATGGAATTAAGATTTATGTATGGGATTTCTATATTGTTTAATTCCATATATTAGTTATATCACAAACAATTATAAACAATGTTTATATTACAAACAATTATAAAGTATTAAATATCTTACCAACAGTGATATTGTCCACATATCATTTAATCTAGCATTACCATCATAGCCTGCAAATATCCATAACTTATTATCATATACAGCAGCACCATGAGCAGACCTAGCTACTGGTGTCCTAAAAATATATGAACACTTATTATAAGTTATTATATTATGCCTACAAATACAATACTTACATCCCTACAAACTTCCACTCTGCCCACTGACCAGTCTGAAAGTTATACTCAAATAGATCATTTTTATTACTGAGATTAGAATTGGAATGTATGTCCCCAGTATAACCACCGAAGACAAACATTGAGGAGCCATGGACAACAGCAGAATGATGGTAACGTGGTGCTGGTGGAACTCCAGTTGCAAATGCTCGTCCCCAGGACTTCTCCTTTGCATCAAAGCGCAACAAGTCATTCAACATCTTTTTACCATTGTCACCACCAAAAACATAAATCGCATCTTTGTATGCTACAATAGTGTGTTTGCTACGTCTGAAAAAGTAAACAAAAGTCATTGACCAAATTATAATATTAGTAGCTATTTTATTGATCTCACTTAGATCTCAAAATAATATTACCTTAATCACAAAGTAAACTTTATTTATCCAATAGTAACTTAGTAAATGAAAAATATTAAAATATATAAATGCAAAATTATCAAAATTAAAGATATGTGAAAATTATACTATCGTATTTGTTAATTTTTTTAATATACCTAGCACCGACGAATTCATCACATTCCGGCATACGTTGCCATCGATGTACTGTCTCAAATGGGCCGAAATCTAGGGTCAAACACTCCGCAGTCGCCATGTTGTCCATGTTCGTATGCTCGCGGGACAATACAGAACGGTATTTCATTCAGCAGGATAAAGTACCTTTAACCTATACGTCTTTCCTCGTCAACATGTCTCTTCCGTTTCAGAAAAGTTTCAAAGAGAGCGAACGTTCATCGATTTACGCTTCAAGCCATTGCAGAATTCAACCGAACCGCCACAGTTTAAGGTCTTCGAGCATACAATACAACTGTCAAAAACATGTGTCGCGTAGATTGGCGAGGAATCAATATAGTGTCATCACCCACTTGCCACCACCATCGCACGGGTCGGCATCAATGAAAATTTGCATATAGCTATAAGGCATGTATTATAAATCGCATTCTCATTAATGAAAAGTTGACGCATATAGTAACAAGATGCACGTGTAAGATTTACAATTTTTCTATGAAAATAAAAGTAAATTATTAAAAATGGACATTTAAAATTAAATATTTCTGTAATATAAATTAATTATATATTCTGTAATATATTTTAACAAATTTTATAGTTATGCATATACATATATATTTGCCAATTTACTTCTTAACTTTATGCACAAGCTGTTTTTGCAAAATCAAGTGAAAATTATGACAAAGAAAATATGCTAGTTATATTTTTGCTGATGTAGCAAACCATTTTTATATTTCATAATTTCTTTTTCATATAATAATAAAGTTACTCACAATTGTAATATACATATATATATATATACACATATATACTCACACACACATACACACACACACATATATATATATATATATATATATATACACATTACATATATTTCTTATACAGCAAAAATCAGATCTTAATTGCGATAAGATATTGCTGCAAAAATACAATCATCGTTTGCAAAAAAACTTAACATATGCAAAAAACTGCTAATAATAAACCTCAGAAAATGTAAATCTGTTGAAATAAAGTTCTAAATAGTATCTACGTATCTCGTATCTTGTATATGTGCAGGACAAAAACTCTAAAGTGCAACAAAAATACACAAATGTAATCAACAAATTATATATATATATATATACAATATAAATATCACTGTATTCAGTATATTAAACTACTATATTAAAATTGAAAATCTGAAAGAGGAATGAGGAAGATCTCAATTATATTTAATTCGTCGTATGTTCTTAGAAATAGGCAGTGTACTAAACTAATCAATCGTATAACAAGTGGCAGCATACTAAACTAATGATAATATGTAAAAATATATAAATGATTAATGTTAAATAATAATGTGTATTAATGTTATAATAATGTTATAAATAGTCGGTGAGAAGAATGAATATAAAGACGATACGATATTTGTCTGCAACTTCTCTATCCATTTCACAGAAAACGAAAAGATAAACAATCGAGAGAAATATAATTTACATATTATTTATACACATATATATACTACATAATTATTTCTAGAGATACTATTTCGCATTGAATTGATATTCACGTGGCAGTGAAAAAATTAAAAAATTGAGAAACTAACGCATATTATACAAATATTTCATAAAAAATCTTCGTTTTATCCAATAGTCACACTGATTATACGTACACATTTATACCTCTTTTTTCAAGCTTACATTATATTCGTAGCTACGTCAATACGCATCACAAACGTTTTGATCAGAAACTCTTGACCCAACACATAGAAACTCAAGCTTAATTACTGTACTAACTAAAACCGAGGCTAGATAATGCTATTCTTATTATTTTGTTACGATTATCATACGATTCAAATGTCAGCTACAAGAGTTCCAATCCAAACGGTAATACTGTATCAGGGCACTATTAAGGGCATGACAACAGCATAGTATAAAAACCATTGCCAGAAAAAATAAATTAAGTCCTATTAGATAACTTTAATGTGACGTTGTGCTATACTGAAAAAGCTATTCATTGCAATATATAAATTTCGCTTACGATACAAAGCACGAACAATTCAATATACACAAATTTACAATTGAAGAAATTTACTCCTGATCAGTTCGTCGGAACTAATTCTAATAACTCTATTAATTTCTAATAAAGTAATTAGAATTACTTCCATTACGGAAATGTAGAAAAGTATTTGAAATTCATTAATGTGAAAACTTGCGCGCATAAATCATGTAAATCTGTCCGTGACTTTACTTAGAAGATTACTTAGAATTTCTATACAATAAAGCGAACACACTGTTCCTTCACAGGAGGAACAGAAGTGAATTTTTTATGTACAATGTGTGCAACGCAATGCTATTTTAATAGTGAATTGGAAGTGTGCTATAATGCCAGCCATGGATAATAACGAATGGATTCGCGACTTCGATCTCCGTAATCGTACGTGACCTCGACGCCGATCGGTATATCCTCCTTCGCCGTGAGCACCAAGTGCGGTATGGAGCCGACTTCGATAATCCGTGCAACCAAGTTACCGTTTCTCGAGTGATTAACTAATCTGCCCAATTTGTCCGTTTCTGCTGTAGCGTCAACGCTGAAAAAAGAAAATACTGATATTTTAGAACTTTTTTTACAATTTCTACTTTAATAGTATAATAGTATAATAATATTTCCAGCTGAGAGAGAAAGAGAGAAAGAGGAGGGAGAGAAAGGGGAGAGGAGAAAGAGGGAGGGGGACAGGGAGAAAGCTGGGAGCTTTAAAATGTAATTCTTAATAACAAATAAAAATTTTCATACCAATACTGTTGATTACGATGTTGAAAGTAATACATGTAACATCCGGTGTTTTGATCTTGTGCATATTTTTCTTCACGTACCTTTGCTTCTGCTTGACTAATTAATTCACCAATATATTCCACTACGTACTCGCCTTTAGTAAATTCTCGTGTAGTTATAACACCTCGACCTTTACCTGGAAAGTATCTAACCTAATAGAAGAGAAACGAACATAATTAATTTATGTTTAACGATATTACTCAAGAAAAGCATAAGCTAACGTTTCCACAACATTAGATCCGACAACTTATTCACCTCCAAGCCTTCTTCCACCTGACAGACCACCTTATTTTCTATATCGCGCTGTTTTTCTTCTAACACAGCCTTCTTGCACTTTCTGACGCTACGACGCACTGGAAAATAATCAGTAATCGAGTGGTTTGTACTACCCGCATTTACCGGCTTCGACAGACGATTCGGTAATTGATTAATAGTTCCCTTCTTGCGTCCACGTGAAGCAGGCTTTTTTATAACTTGCAATGGGCTACGTAATGCTACCATTACAGGTTGCTTTTCCTTGGTCATGACAGCAGGTTCTTCATCTTCTAATGCCAATGGCATATTGATTCTATGTGGCGTAGATGGCCCATGAATTGGAACAGCCACTGGTGTCTCTGAAATTAGAGTCAGTATATTATAAAATAAATTTATAAAAGTATGTCAAATGGAAGTATAAATTAGTGATAAATACCATCAGTTTTAAATTGCTCTATATCAGAAATAATTTCATTGCTTGTTTGAACACATTTTGGGACTCGTGCATTGCCAAAAAGGTAATGCACAAGTGTCGCAGAACTTTTCTCTTTCATAACATCTACATTTGAATCCTATAAATAAAATAATATTGCAATTATTTCTATTAAATTAATTTAATTTAATTTATTAAATTTTTAAATCTATGCAGGATCTTTCAGGATCTTAGGTGACCAAACTCTAAGAGTATATATACAGGGTGTCCCATTTTAATATCCCACCACAAATAACTCTTCAGTATTGAAGTTCCAAGGAAAATAATCTGAATAAAAGTTGTAGGGATTTAAGTAAGCTACCTTATGATAACCTTGACTTTGACCTTGATCTCTATTTTCAAAGTCATGTAAAAATCAACTTGCATTTTTTAAATGGGAACCCTTATTTTTTATTACACTGTTTTTTTTCTACTAGTTAATTTGAACAACTTTTGCCTAAACATGTGTTTACATTTGTCTAAAACATTTTTTTATTTGTCTAATATTTTCTGAGATATTTGAAGAAAACTTGATAACTTTTTCAATATTTAACTCACGATACCTCGCTATTTGTCAGAAGAAAAAGTGATCCTAGACTTTCTTGCTTTATTTAGTCTCAAGAATATATTGTTGCAATAGTGCCCTGATTTTTGTTAATTTGATGATTTTGAAATTTCCAAAAGTCAGTAAGTTAACAAAAGTCAAGGCTCTATTGGAACAATATATTCTTGAGATTAAATAAAGCAAGAAAGTTTAAAACCACATTTTCTTCCAACAAATAGTTAGCGAGATATCATAAGTTAAATATTGAAAAAGTTATCAAGTTTTTCTCAAATATCTCAAAAAATATTAGACAAATAAAAAAATGTTTTAGATAAAAGTTGTTCAAATTAACTAGTAGAAAAAAACAGTGTAATAAAAAATAAGGGTTCCCATTTAAAAAACGCAAGTTGATTTTTAAATAACTTTGAAAATAGAGATCAAGGTCAAAGTCAAGGTCATCATAAGGTAGCTTACTTAAATCCCTACAACTTTTATTCAGATTATTTTCCTTGAAACTTCAATACTGGAGTTATTTAGGGTGGGACATTAAAATGGGACACCCTGTATATTCTATTCATTGTAAGGATGGAAAAAGGTCATATGAATATAAGTGTAGGAACATTTCTTTTCCAAGTTATATTTCATATATAAATACTTTGTATTTATAACAAACAACATGTTTCACATTGATGTGTCATGCATTATCTTTTATTCATTTTCTATTACAAATAGATAAATTAGCAAATGGATCTGTTTGAAACTAAAATCAATCTTTATTTAAATATTTAAGAGTTAAGATAGTATCAAGGTGACAGCTTATTCTATATTCTTATTCTATATTATTCTACTAAACCTTACTTCTATTATAAATGAGTGTTTATAACTTAGAAAAAAAATGTTTCTGGATCCATGTTTATATGATCTTTTTTCATCCTTATAGTAAGTAAAATATACTTTTATAAAGTTTGACTACCTATTTTTTAAATACTTTGTATATGTACATAATTTGTAATATATACTTACTCGTTTGCAAGAATATGTTTTGTTTGTAGATGATTTATATGTTTCTGAGGCAGATTGTGTTTCAAAAAGACATTTATTAGTTAATTTTTTGGTAGTATTAAATTTGTTTTGATTTTTTACTGTTATATCATTTTGCAAAGCTATATCTTTCTTTATACCACATCTCTGGTTCACTATATGGATCAAGAATTATGAATATATAGTTTTCTTATGAAACAAAATGCTAAATATATTATAATTTTTTAATGTAGCATGCGATATTACAAATACAAATAATATTAGCATTATGAAGCAAAATTATACTGCATAAAAATTACATAATTGCTTCATAAATTAATATTGATAATTAAACTTTTACAGACATTTGCAACAGATTTGCAAACAATCAATATATGTAATATTATAAGAAATTTATTATTTTGAATCATTTCTTTTTAATTTAACAAAAATCAATAATTATTGACTTCAAACACATGAATATTCATCATACATACGATTCAAATAATAAGTTTCTATCTTATACAGCAAAATTATATAACAAACATAATAAGGATTCAAGAAATTTAGACGTTAAAAGTTCACAAAAATCACGATCGAAAATAATATAACATATCTCGCCCTACGGCAGGCAGCTCTGACTATCTTGCACTCCATATTAGTTCTGTATTAGTTCAGAATCTAATCACAATCTAACTAGAGTTGCGAAGATCACTATCATGGATTAATAACTTGCATTATCACAAGTCGAGAATCAATAAGCGGCATTCCCTAGTTGCAATCGCTTCGCGCTTAATGAATTACAAAATTGACGCGTCGTAACGACTGATATATGTCGTGTCGAATTGAGATAAAGATAGGCACATCTAAGGAGCGTCTCTGCGATAGCATTCAAAATGGAGCGAGAGAGGAGACCAATTCAAAACATAACCTCAACGTGGCCGGTTCGAAATGAAAGCACTATATCTAAGTGAAAGTATTAGCACAAAACACGCGATTACCTTTAACTGTGTTCCCAACGTTATTCCCATTGCAACGGGATGCTGCACGAGTAGCTCTATTCATGGCAGAGCACGATGGGAAAACAAACGATGGTTAACCAAGCACAGCAGAAATTTGTAGATGACAACGACGGTTGGCAATAACGATTGGTCACGGTCTAATGAACGAATTTATAGTTTCTTCATTGACATGGAACTACGCGTGCCGTATTTACTGCGTTTTTTTATAAACAAATTCAAAATGTGAAATGACAAACAAGATCGTACAGCTGCATGCACTGGTGTTACACGATAAGCGCGTCGTTACATAGTTCAGTTCAGTTTAATACATGGCTCCGGACTGCATTCAGCTTTGTCCATACGCCATTTTCCAGTAGTATGAAGGTAAAAGAAAAACAGGGACAACGCGTACGCAATCCCCACGATCAAAAAATATGCGTAGTTACAAAAACCACGTCCAACCGCCACGGAGGCGAACTAAAGACTGCGCAGAGGGGACGAACTTCCCTCTTAAAAACTGAGCGACGGGTTTTTGGAGCGCCACCTTGATACGTATCGGAACTGGTGGAATTAAAATGGGTCACATGATATAGAGTGGGGATACGCGCTATATTGAAATCTAGTACACATATATATAAATATAAGGCTTGTTCTTTTTCGCTGCACTGATGCAATAAGTTAGAGTGAGACAAATATATATTTGTTTTACTCTAACTTATTGCACCAATGCAGCAAAAAAGAACAGACCTATATATATATATATGTGTGTGTGTGTGCTGTACAGCACTGTACAGCACACACACACCTGCCTCCCCTATATCCCTTCCATCGGGACTGTGTGAGAGAGAGAACGAACAGTAAAAACAGAGTATATTCTTTTCTACGTGAGCTATACCCCCACTCCTCGAACACGCAGTCTAGATATACTATTATGGGCCGTATTCATAGTCGGATCTTATATTTAAGACCGTCTTGAGTTCACGTTCAGATATTCTGTAGCCAATGAAATGATCTATGTAGCATCTGAAGATGAACTTAAGACGATCTTAAATATAAGACCGGACTATGAATACCAGCCTATATCTATGATCTACACCTTTTCGTACTTGATTTTAGTTTAAACAGCCGATAAGTCAACTATCTGAATTTGCTGATAACGATACGATGCGTGCATTTATATGTGATTCCATTAACTATAGTGCTGTCGGTAATGCTAAATCGTGTGGTAAAAAGATCACTTACTCGTTTACACCCTGTATATATACCTCGATAATTCTTCTACGAAGCATTTTCAGCAAAAATATTTCGGACAAAAGTTATATGATTTCAAGGGGGATAGAAAACTATACTATTTTGTTTACAAATAGCGCTATCGAGATATTCATTGATCATTATTGTTCTTAAATGGAAACCCCAATTTATTACACCATCTTTTCCCACTAATTAATTTAAGCAACTTTTGTTTGAAACATTTTATTTGCCTAATATTTTTTGAAATATTTAAAGAAAACTTGATAACTTTTTCAATATTTAACTCGCACGATATCTCGCTATTTATCGGAAGAAAAAGTGGTATTAGACTTTTCTGCTCTATTTAATCTCAAGAATATATTGTTATATTAGCGTTATATTAGTTATTTAATAAAAGTCAGGACGCTATTGTAACAATATATTCTTGAAACCAAGTAGAGCAAAAAAGTCTAGTACCACTTTCTCTTCCGACAAATAGTTAGCAAGATATCGTGAATTAAATATTGAAAAAGTTATCAAGTTATCAAGTTTTCCTTAAATATCTTAAAAAATATTAAGCAAATAAAACAATGCAAATAAAGAAAATAAAAAATCAGACAAAAGTTGTTTAAATTGGTAGAAAAAGATGGTATAATAAAAAATTGGGATTTCCATTTAAGAAAAGTAATGATCAGTGAATATCTCAAAAGTGCTATTTACAAAAGTGCTATTAAACAAAATAGTAAAATTCTATTTAAGTATGCTCTTAAAATTAGCTAAAAAATATAAATTTACAATTATTTTAACTTTCAGAAGTTCGATTTGTAAAACAAATCATCTTTTATTTGCTTATTAATTTGAAAAATATTGAATATATATTTCAACATTTTTATATTGGATTTTCAATTTCAATTATATTTTGCTACATGATGTTACAGTAATGTTATATTTTTAATCTGATATTTTTAGATATATAATATATTTGAAAATAACTATTCTTTGATAATGTTGTTTCAATTCTTTTACATAAGAAATAATTGATGGAATTATTGCATATAAAATAATATTCTATTTAAAAGATCTAAAATAAGCTTAATGATTAATAGAGAAAACCTGCTAAAGGAAAAAAGAAAAAATCAAATAAGATCATTATATTATCTTCTTTGAAACCATATAACTTTTATTTTAAACATTTGTTCTAAAATGAAAAGCAATTTAATAATTAATGCGTTAAAATGGTTAATTTTATGTGCATGTTTTTATATTGTATTTAATAAATAAATAAATTTACTTAACTATGTGATGTATCTTTTATATTAATTTATTTTAAATGTTAAAGAAATATATTTCTGTTCACAGATCCTTTATTATTCTTCTTTCCTATTCCTTTACTATTGTTAATGCCCTTAATTTATTTAATTCAGTTTTTACAATACATTGATATTCCTCCTCAGATACTATTATATTTGATGTCAACTCCAAATATTGCATAGGCATTAATTGTGTATATAGCTGTGTCACACATCCGTAATAATTCAATTGTATCATAATCACAGCATGAATGCAAGGATTAATATATTCAACCCTTCTTTCAAGAAATACTGGTAACTCTGTGAGTAATTGAGTATGTATAGTTTTCAAATCTTTAGCAGCTGTTTCTTCAATTCTTCGTTCTTTTTCTAACTTTGCAATATGACTGGCAGTTCTGTCCTTTTTTTCTTGTAATTTTTTTACACGATTATAAGAATATTTCCATGTAGCCACTAGATCCTCACGCTTTGTTATTGCTGCAGCAATAGT